TTAGCATGAGTTGCAACTACCCAGCTTATTTAGGTGTTCAACGCTCTGCTCAGCCCCATTACCTAGAAAGCAGGCACAGTGAGAGCCAGACCCCGTCTGTTGGTCACCCTTGGCATTCCCAGAGCCCGGCACGGAGCTCTAGGCAGCCTGTCCAAGGTCCCGGTGTGAACAAGTGCAGCACCGGATTTCAGTCCGTGTTCATAATTAGATACTACATCACTTGCCACTCTAGTAACTAATTACTGCATGAACCATTGCACCCGCTCAGCAGAGTCCCCCAGCGCTGAGAAACCTGAGGACAGCTAGGAGTCTCCAGTCGCCTGCTAGCTACCTGGGGCGCTTGCTCCTAACGCCCAAACGACATCTTGGGAAGCTCCGCTTTCTCTGCGTGGTTGGGCCACCTCCAGGGCATCGGGGTTAAGGGCACTGCCTTGCCCAGAGCTCAGGAGGGGGTGGGTGGACGTTTCAAGGGGAGCTCCCCGGGGCCAGGAAGTCCCAGCAGGGCAGGGCCCAGGAGGGAGTGCAGTCACAAGGGCAGAGGCTCTAGCAGGCAGGCAAGGGGTGGGGGGAGGAACAGGACCTGGCGTCCTGCTGTCCTCAGAGATGCCCCCCAGGGCCCTGCCTGAGCTGGGAGCAGCCCCTCCACACGCCGGAAGCAATGTGGGGCCGGCAACTGGACAGCACCAGCCGTGTCTCTGGGTCCTACAGACCCAGTCCTGTCAACTCTTCCTGTGCACGTGTGAGGAGGCCGGCGCGCACCTGGCTGGGACCAGCTCGCACCCTGTCCTGGCTCCCAGTCCTCCCAGTGGCAGGAGCTTGGACCTCCTGGACTCAATCCAATCCCCAGCACGGGGGGTGGGGGCAGGGGTGGAGGAGCTCAGGCAGCTGCTTTTTTGTTTTTCTTTTTCCCCCAAAAAGGCTCCCGGGGGATTTGGCAGGCATCAGGACAAGCAAAATTTTTACTTTTCATTTCGCTTTTCTATGGTTTCTTTGAGTTGTTTACATTATGAGCATTTTTTAAAAGCTGGGTTTGAAAATGTCTCCGGGTTTGGGAAGCACTTTGCTAGAAGGGGCCAGGCAGGCGGGGTAATGGGGAGCCCCTGCTCCCTTGGAGGGGTGGAGAGATACCCCGGGTGGGCACAGCCCCTGCTGGGAGCTTCCAGAAGTCACTGGGAGCCCTGGCAGCAGAGGTGCAGAGCGTGCTGCCGAATATCCAGCGTG